TTATCTCCGGAGATAGGGATTAGCTCTATCTAGTGGGCCCAACTGTGTAGGAACCTGAAGACGGAGATAGAGTCCCATCTCCGAAACGTCGTTTTAAGTTTTATATTTACTAGACGATGGATAATATCCAAGAAAATTTTTATTCAATTGACTCTTCACCATCGTCAAGAAGTTTTAGATTTGATATTCCCTAATGATAGTTCGACCTATGAATGATTTACCCGCCGGTACTTCTGTACTGACTTATTATTCACAGTTGTTGCTGAGAATTATTTTTGGATCGCGAATTACTTGGGGGGGTGTCCCGTTTTCTTACAAATCTACGCGCTATTGTCACAGGAAGTTTTTAACTTGCGTTCAGAAAATTTTACAATGGAACTACGTAAAAGCTTTAAGCCTTGCTGTGTTTCTCACTTTATTATTTCTGTGGTCAGAAATACCAACACCCAGCCTCTATTATAGCCTTAAATATATAAAAAAAGTGTTATCTGTAATTAATACAATGTTTTGCTCGACATGTATTGGAAGTAAGAATGGCATATGGGGATTCAATAATTAAATGTCTGAGACAATGTTCTGATTAAATGGCACGTAATGGATTTTTATTAATATAAAATACGTTTTATCTGTATTTAACACCATACAGGACAATAATTTATAAGTAAAATATAAAATACAAATATATTTTATTTACTATTATTTCGTTAAATTCTAGAAGACTGCATTATATATCAGCCAGCATTTTGTTACACTCTAGTAAGTGAGAAGAAATATTTCTTTGTAGTTTGTGGGTCATCTACTTTAATTTTTCCATTTGTTGATTCACCTGACTGTACTGATGCGTCTGGCTAGTAAATAAGAGGAGATCAGTGTCATCTTGGATGCTACAACGTGTAATCTCGTAGAAATTGCTCGATTCTTCAAGTTTGTTTGCAGCATAAATTGTCGGGACTATAAGTATTCGCCCTGATGATGGAAGTAGTAAGGACCTGCGAAACGGCAACAAATTT